TGAATAGACTCATGGACGTAAATGGCCACTTCACTTTGCTTTGCTTTGCTCTACCTGATCATAAATACTTAAGCCCCCCCCCCCCCACTTTGAAAAACGTTCCCAGGGCTTGCGTGTCATGAGAGTGGTGGTGATGCGGATTTTTTGTCTGCCCCCAAAAAACGTTTTTGCTCATTACGCCACTGCTCCCGTCCCTCGCATTTCGTCCCCCCCCCCCCGGTCATGAAAATAAATCGCTGCCCCTGGACAGTAGTGATGGTGGAATCACACCAACGTTTATGGTGTGTGTGTGGGGGGTGGGGTAGGTGTCTCACTTGTCTCTGATTGTACAATTAAGAGCAATGTACATTGCACAATGTCATTGAAACAATTTGACCTGCTCTGCCCAATTGTGCATACGCCACTGTGCATCTATATTTATCTATAATAATTAATACAATCGCCCCCATATTTTTTTTAGATTCTGCATGGTACACCATGCATACTTGTGCATACTTATAAAAGACTCAAGTACAACCTTGTACCAGCATTTTGAAACGGTACTAAATTTACCAGCGAACAGGATAAAGCAGTCGTTAATTGTTACGAGGGTATGGCACGAAATGCACGTACGTGCAGTGACGTAGATACAGGGCACATACCCCTCTCCCACAATGCTAGAGCGTCCTATAATGCCTGGATTACACTTGGCCTGCGATTAGTCTACGGAGCCCGTATCCTGTCGTATCCCCTTTTCCGTGCGGCCTCCGTGAGATTTTAGTATGGATTCGCGGGCTCCGCGGGGCTCCGCGGCCTCCACTATTTTGTTTCGCAGAAAGTTGTACAAATTTGAAAAATCGTAAGCCCCTAGTCCGTAGATATGTTGTAGGCGTCATTGCGCAATCCCCGCACGGGCATCGCGCGGAGGACTCTCGCTGATCGTGCAGCAAACGCACGATTTTTCGGTGAACATGGAGGCAAAAAACGGCACGGCGGCTGCCCGGTCACGGCGCCGTTCTCCGCGCAACCTTTGAACGGAAGCTGCACGGGCTCCGTACGATTTCCTTGCGGATGCTGCGGAGACTAGCTGCACGGTTACTGCATTGAAATTGCACGATTTCCGTACAACCTCCGAGCAGCCTCTGTGCGGATTTGCCCCGGCCTGCCCCCGAGGGCCAATACAAGAAATGGCACGAAGCTCGTAGATAATGCAAACACAAACATCGTGGCCCGTAGCCTCCAATTTGTGCATACTTATAAAAGTAGCTTATCAAACTAATCTTTATGAAAGATTTCGACTCAAGTACAACCTTGTACCAGCATTTTAAAACGGTACTAAATTTACCAGCGAACAGGATAAAGCAGTCGTTAATTGTTACGAGGATATGGCACGAAATACACGTAAGTGCAGTGACGTAGATACAGGGCGCGTACCCCTCTCCCACAACGCTAGAGCGTCCTAGTGGCTGGACTACTCACGGTACACGCATGACGTATGCTAAATAAAAAAAAAATCCATTCGTCGATCTGTTGCAAGTCGAAACATACATCCCTGTGTGTTAGAGGATATAGCACGGTGACAGTTGTGAAAACAGAAGCAAAATCAAGAATAAAATATTGGAACCTTTCCCAAGTTTATACAATCTTTAGAAATAACATTACAAATTGCATAATAAGTGAAGACATGACGTATATTAGAGAAATGTAATTACAAATTATCGACAACTAAATTGAAAGTCGAATGACTAAGTTTTATTCAGCAAGTGGTAATCTAAATGTCAAGAAGTTCTCCTTAGAACTATATTAAGCTAAGAAAGATAACCAACAGTCTTTTTCAAGACTACACCAACAGTCCTTTTCAGGACTACACACTCTCAAGAAAGATTACCGAGAGTCCTTTTCAGGACTCCTCAACTTCCTCCCTCTCTCTCTCACATGGTGCACCCGCAGGCCCTACTGTATAGTCATGGTTTTACAGCATCGTCTTCTACTTCTGTGTCAACTCTTAAGGTAATCGCTCTTTTTGCAAAGCTTCTGCTAAACTCTGAAACAGACTACCTTTAGATGTCAAAAACTGTCACTACTGTTAATCTATTCAAAACAAGGGAAACGCTCTCGGCGGTCTCGCCTGTATTACGCAATTTGATATGATGAAAAATTGAGGTTGGAACATTATTTATAGGCAGGGTGGCCCATTAGCAGGCCGCAAAAAAATGAAATCCTCTGAATATAATCAGAATTTTGAAGTGAATATTGATTAAGAATCATGAACCAATAACAACAATTGATTCATTTATTCTCAAATTAAGTTGTGAAAACATAATCCAAGTCTACTGACCTAAAATGACCTTTGACCTTGTGACCTGGAATTTGTGTCATATGACTTGGGTACAAGTTTCATGGAATTTGAACAAACACTTTTGAAAATATACTAAAAATTCAAAATCTTGATGTTGATGCCACAAAAAAGTCTAAGTTTGTTGACCTAAAATGACATTTGACATTAGCTTTCTACACACATGATTGGGGATACTTGATTACCCTATAGTCCAAGTTTCATTGACTAAGAACTTATACTTTCAAAATTATATCAAAAATTCAAAAACTTAACCTTAGGTTAAGTTTTCGATAATGATGCCGCAACATAGTCTAAGTCTGTTGACCTGAAATGACCTTTGACCTTGACTTTGTGACCTTTGTGACCTAAGTTTTTGATGTTGACGCCGTCGCAGCCGTCACCGGAAAAGCGGGGCCTATGTCTCGCTTTTTTGCTACGCAGGCGAGACAACTAGTCTTAAGACACATTTATTCAAAATTGCTTTCGATGATTAATTAACTCTGTTCACTTTGATGTGTATTCCATATGTATTGTAATTTGTAGGTTTATTTGCACTTTTTTGTTTTGTTTGATATGTAATTGTTTATTAGTCTATTTTGTTTGTTATAGCGCTTAGAGACTTCGGTGGTAAGCGCTTTATAACGTCTTTATTATTATTATTATTATCTTTATTCATAACAAAGACACACACAAAATTCAAAAACAAAGGGAAGTAAAGTCTGTAGATTACTTGTTGTTCAAGAACAATAATATAGGATAATATTTCATATACAATGAAAGACATATTTCAATACATGTTACAGTAGGACTTAGACTCTTCATTTTGTATAAATGTAAATGTTTATTCAACTGTTATCGCCCATGACCTATCATCATTAACTGTATAAACCGGCGTCTTATTATATCGACAGGTGTCATTATTGTTGTATCTAGAAAACCAGCGTTTTCACCCTTTTGTTCTATCTTTCTTATAATAGCAAGTCATTATCTACCTTTTATTTTCTTTTTTTTGAGGGCTGCAAACACACCAGGCTTCATGCTTACGCCGAAACCCTCCTATATCGTGTTTATCTATATTAATTTAATGTATGCATTCATCGTGTAACTTCATTTCTTATACATTCTCTATATACAATGTCATGTACTGTATTGGAAAAATGTATCAAATGTAAATAACTCAGTAATGCTCATGAATATACATAACATTCTCCTTTTCCACACTGAAACATAAAGAGGATTCGCTAAATCCATATCAAATTAATAACAAAATTATAAAATAGGTATATGCCGGTACCGGTAAGTTTATGTCTCAGAAAATCATCTAGGTTCTTATATAATGTGACAGCGGGGTGGACGGACAAGCAGACAAAAAATACCATCATAATTGTACAAAAACATAAGGGTCAGTTTACTTAAGAGCCAACGCGGTAGGCATTATTTAATCAGCCATGATAGAGGCATGCTAAAAAATAATAATTAGCCACTGACGTAACCCTTACCGTAACACTGATATATGCAAATGAAATATGCAAACAACCCTATGAAAAACATGGTATGCAAATAAACTACTTCATATCTGCATAACATTAGAGGCTTTTCTTTTTTTTAGAAACAGGCCTTATGGAGCGCAACATTCTCCAATCCGGGTGGATTATTGTAATTCTGTATTGAAATATTGAAAATGATGAACTGATTTGAAGATAACATGCTCGTGCTTTTTGTCTGTCATTTATCCACTAATACACATGGCATGGTGGCTCAGTGGTTAGAGCGCCCGCCTCATGAACGGGTGGTCGTGGTTCGAACCCCGGCCGAGTCATACCAAAGACTTATAACAATGTGACCTTCTGCCTTCTAGCTAGGCGCTTAGCATATTAGATTGGAGAAGGGTAGTAATAACATATTATGTTATGCAGGGCCCGCTGGAAGAGCAGTTTCGTAACTGAAGTGGCTACCCTGGGTAAATAAAACGTTATTATTATTATCATTATACTTAGAATATTAGAAAGAGGTTGAAATTTTGGTGATCGATAAGTCAGTTGACTAAATAAACCAGCATCTTTGCTTGGTATCAAACCTGACCTAACAATAGTATATGGAAAATACAAAATGCTTTGTGCATGTACATGTACTGAGGTACATGCATAATTGCAGGATTATATCAAATTTCGTTCATTATGTTTCATACATGTATCAAGTTGAACATCAAATTATTATTTAATGTGAAAGAGGAAACGTCCCCTCGCATTTAATCCGAAATTGGTTTTACACACCGCGTTCTCTATTAAAATATTCCATTCAAATATAAATTGTCCTTCTTATAAAAACAACATTATTCCGTTCCTGCATATTATTTCCTGCGTGAATGATTTTTTTTCTTTAACTCCTCGCCCTCTCGCCAAATCGCCCTAAAATTGCATTTTCAGTTGAGGGCGTTTATTGCATCAACAGTCCACAATATTCGGAGAACACTTGTCGTTAAGAAAAGATGATTGTGGCCTTGTGGGCATCATTGCATTTTGATATGCACAACAGTGGCGGATTCAGGGTTCTCTGGTAAACGGGGGGGGGGGGGGGGCACATGTCCGGAAAAATGCTACGAGGTTTGGAGCGTGCTGCTTTGGCTTTAGCATTCTGTGGCAAGCATTAAAAGGGTCGTCAGCCATTTTGTTTTTTGTTGGGGGGGGGGGGAGGGGGTGCCCCCTGGATCCGCCAATGTTCGAAATTCATAAACTTTCTGTTTACGCAATTACGTAATTGTCATCAGGAAGATGGACAAAGGAATAACCAACAACAACAATATCAAAAATGTACTCGATTGATCACTTCCAGGGCTTTGAACTTTCCGGGTCTTGGTCGGTGTATCTGTGTTGTGTTTAGCCTTCATGATGGCATTCCGGGCCCCGGGCCACGCATGGGGGCCTACCAGTCGGTAGAAGGGCGGGTAATTGGGACCGAAGAAGAATTTGTAGGCGAGTATGGGATCCGACATGAGGAGATCCGTGAACCGCGGTAGGCATCCGAGCTTCGCAGCAATCATATCACAGTATGGGATGGGTGGAAACTAGACATGGTAGTCAAGAAGTAAAGAAAAGAAGAGAAATATATGGAAATTCATGGCATGTGTTCATATTCTTACCCTTATTACATGGTATTTACCCCCTTCTCACACTTTTGTAAGGGAGGGGGGAGTAGGGGCGTGTCCCTCCCACGATTAGCAAGAAGTGTATTCGGTAATGAATATTCAAACCTATTTAGACGCACAGAGTGCTCTTTTCTATACCTGCAGACAATACTTTCCCACGTGAGAACAACAGCAAAATAATGCCCCTTCTCCACCAGCAAGTGTTATATGCATTTGTTCTGGAGCAACGGACCTATCAAAGTATATCTTTCACACTCCTCTCGCTCCCCCAACGGGTGGATAAGATAGGAGGGCTAGCTAGGGAACAATGCTATCGAATATGGTGAGGGTGTGGTATGATGGGCTTTTCATCTTCTTTTCACGTACGTTGCCTTCACCCCCTCCCCCTTCCCCACTCTCTCTCTCTCTCTCTCTCTCTCTCTCTCTCTCTCTCTCTCTCTCTCTCTTCGTTTGCAATCTAATGGGGCAACTGCTCTCGTAGCTATTTACACGAACCTGCGATATATCAAACCTCAGGTATGCTTACATGTACTTTAGGATGGCCGTAGATCTTCTTGAAGATATTTTTCCTCCTCGCTACATCTTCCAGCATCATCTCCTGGCATGGTAGTTCCACTAGACCCTTGAAGACTCGGCCAGCCAGGCGGGCCTGGAGCTCATACATAGGTCCTTGGGCACCCACCGCGTTGGTAGCACCGACCAAGGCGATCGTCTGGTGGGCTAGGCGCGGCGGGAAAACGTGCCAGTAGAGCTCCAGCTCGGCATAAGTCTCTATAAAACAGTGTTTAAAGGGAGCAGGCATTGGACACAATTATTTTGAAAGAGGTATGTAGGCCGATGATATAGAGGCGGATTTAAAGTTTTGTAAAAGAGAGGGAACAAGTCAGAAAAAATCTGACAAGCATACAAATAGTTTTTAAAAAAAAAAAAAAAATTGAGGGTGCTACTTTGTTTAACATTTATTTTTGACCCTCTAAAGTGCCTATTTGGGACTAAAGCTTGAAAGGGGGCAAGTCAACACAATTAAAGGCAATTTTATTTCTTTTGTGTGATTTAGTTTTGATTAAGTACTAGGTACATGTAATGTCCTGCAATACTTAATATGTCTGTTTTCAAAAACGCACGTGTCACAAAAGAACCCCCTGTCAGTTATCGTTGATAAATATTGTCCACTAGCCTACGGTAAAAGTTTGTCAGATTTTCAAATATGTCATAGGATATTCAATTGCTTATTCCAACGAGTACCAATTGCATAAAAGTCATCATTTTTGTAGATACGCTGACAAGCTATAATCAATGTTTTTAATATTATACAAATATACATTGTCTGGAGAGGTTCTGGTTAAAACTATGCGCAGGAGATGACTCCAATACCCCTCAGCCCCAGAAGGAAATGGTCCTTTTGGAGTCACCGAGCCCCATAATTTTAACCGGTACCTCGAATAGAAGGCATGGTATATTTGTTTTATATCCTGCATCAAAAATGTATTTTAAAAAACTAAAAGAATAATAGAATCTAAAAAATGTTAATTTTTATCAAAAGAGATTTAGAATATTTAGTTTTCATTAAATTAAGATTTGAAAAGAAAGAAAAAAAAATAAAAAAATAATAGAATCTAAAAAATGTTAATTTTTATCAAAAGAGATTTAAAATATTTAGTTTTCATTAAATTAAGATTTGAAAAGAAAGAAAAAAAAGAAAAAAAAAATCACATTTTTTTTCCAACTGGTACTCCCAAATGGTACTCTTATATAATAGTACTTTTTCAGAGCAACCTTAAAAATAGTTGAAATATTTCTGGTCACGTGACGAGCTCTCAACCAATCAAAAACCAATAAATTTTTGATGCATGATATAAAAAAATATATATTATCACACAAGCACACGTGTGCACACGCACGCACGCATACACGCAACACATACACGCCCTAGAGCACACCGAGGGATGCAGTAAGCAAAACATATCGACCCTGATTGCCCAACCAGATACAAGTATTTTAGACTTCTGTCCATTCACAACTTTCGTGAAAATAATTACTTTGAAAATGATCTCCCCCGCCCCCCCCCCCCCAAAAAAAAATGTCAACAAAAATAAGTAGGCCTATGCAAACATGAACCTTGCAGAATAGACTTGTCGATGAAGGGGAATTTGAATTCATAACCAGTCGCGAAGATGACCGCATCGACGTTTTCAACCACCGTACCGTCGACGAAGATGACATCGGTCTCGGTGAAGCGAGCGATGTTGGCTTTCGCTTTGAGAGCACCACACCAAATCCGAACCTTGAGATGAAAAAGAAAAATGGAACAAAAAATGAAATAGTCGTTTTCTTTTCGCTGTATGTTCGTGGGGATGTTCGGATGTTCGTGGGGTTTCTGTCTTAAATGATGTATCATTTGGATTGTAGGCTTGTTATTACAGTAGGCGTACCTCATGTACGAGGTAAAAAGGGCCGGGCTTCAGCTCCGAGAATTCGGACACCAACAACAAGCGGGCAACCGTCACCAAACTCACATTCAAGCAGCGAGGTGCCCAAACATTTTCATATTCTGGGCAACAAGTTTACAGAATTAGTGAAGAGAAAATGCCCCATCGCCTCAGCCCCAAATCATCTACAGATACGCTAGTGGAAAATGGAAAAAGATATCAAGGACTACTATTCTTTGCCGAGACACATGAGGTCATTTTCAAGCCACAGACTAGTAGAAGCGAAAAGCGTCTTATAAACTGTCCAAGACCAACATTATCCTAAGACCAGCGTTTTTCAACCGGGGTGCCACAAAACAGCTCTAGGGGTGGCGCGAGAGAAATTCAGTTGCATAAAAAAAACGTCGACTTCGTGAAACACCAAATATCAAAAACCGCTAAATATGTCATTTTGTGAGGGAATATCATTATTAGATAATTAAGAGTATTTTTTCCTCGCTCGCTCGCATTTTTTAGAAACGGGATGATAAAGGCAGCAAGTATCTGAATACGTCCATATTTTTAGCGACGAGGTGCCCGAATATCATTCTATTTTAAAGCGACGTGCACGAATAATAATCTATACCTTTTATATCAAAATTGCATTTCTGACATGTTCACTTTACTCGCTCGCAACATTTCGAAACGGGATAATTTCAGGCAACGGGATGCCCAAATATCTTCATATTTATGTATCTTTCGTGGCGGGGTGCCCGCATACATTATATTTTATATCTCATCCAGTGTTGAGTACAAATATTATTTTTAACTTTATTGTAAAGGTGCAATTTTTCGCTCGCTCACAATACTTATATACATAATATGCTCGTGAATGTGTACATGGTACTGGACAAGTTTCAGAGTGATGCACATTTAATATTCTGTGATCAATTTGGGATTGGGGTGACGCGAAACTTTTAATTTCTGAAAGGGTGCCGTGACTGGAAAAAGGTTGAAAAACGCTGCCTTAGACGATTAGCTATGATACCTTTCTTCGATCTCATCCATCGCCACAGAACAGAAATGTTTGTTAGTAATTTCTACTCTTTGTGCCTTTTCAAGAACAGTCTAATATGGCTGATAACTTAAATCATCTTTACACTGCATACAAATTGGTTGTTATCTGTTTACCATTTGTTTGCCATTTTTGAAAGCAGTGGAAACTATTTGTATAGCTCCAGTCTTCACGCTCCATGACATGAGACTTGTTCGAAATTTACTATTATACAAATAATACACAGCAGTTAGGGCATTAGTAAAATTACCCACACGAGGTACCTTTGGAACAGTCTAACACGCCCGAGGCGGTAGTCGAGGGTATTTGGACTGTTTTGAGTGTGGGTAATTTTACTAATGCCCGAACAAAAATGTGTGTATTATTTGTTTTATAAGATTATGTTTTATTTGTTTTATAAGATTATGTTTTATTTGTTTTATAAAATGATGTTTTATAACATGATTTTACTAATGACCGGTCATTATCCAAAGTACGCGTTAGGCAAACGAAATACCTGGTCACGTGTACGCTTTCAACCAATCGTTTGATTAGGATCCACGCCACATCTTATAACATTGACTACTCTACCAAACACTGGAAAGCTGCATTTACACTGCAAGCACAAATCGTCAATTTTTTCTGACATTCCGGTGTTTTGTCGGTAGTAACATAGCATACAAGATGAAAATTCACCTCTGATGTCTTTATTTTTAAACGCCTGCCGAAATTTCACAGATATTTGCAGTGTTAATGACCGCTTTTGAAACTTCGGTACGATACCGGTTTTTTGCCCACGTGACTCTCCTCGTTTCCGTCCTAACGCATTAATTATGCAGGACAGCGAAAAGTGGCGCCTGCGCACAACTCATCAACAAAAGCGAAACGAGCAAAGACCGCCGTTTTTTAAATGTGTTTTTCCAGTAGGGTAAATGGCAGCCCCCAAAATCGACGATTTCCCGAAATGGTGTTTTTGGGATGCTTCAATGGGATTTCAGATAAACTAAATTATGCAGATGCAGGATAGGGATTTTCTTACCCCTATTTCATCGTTAACCATGAGGCTGGTGGAAGCGAAGAGAGGTCTATCCGATTGAAGACCCAGACTCTCCATATCGAGCCGGTTAGCAATGACTGATTTCATCCATTTCTTCCAGAGGGCTAGCGGTACCAAGCCCCTGACGCGACGATTGACGTAGGTATCAATTGGAGCGCCCCCAGGACCCTGCCTTGGTAAAACTGTCGTGCCCGACTTCATCGCCAGGTAGGTCTGATGGATAAGGTGATATACAGGAGTTGAGATATTACATAGAACAGATTACTACTACTACTACTACTACTACTACTACTACTACCAGGCGCGTACGCAGGATTTTTTTCAAGGGGGGGGGGGGGTTAACATTTTTAAATCGGCCCGATAATTTCGCACTCGACTCAGCCAGCCGCTGAATAAGCGGGGGGGGGGGGGGGGGGGGGGTTAAGAGGATACTTTTTTAGGTCAGCCATTGGTATAATTTTTTTATTTCATTTTATTTATTTTTTTATTTAAAAAAAAACCCAAAGGGGGGGGGGGGTTCCGTCAAAATACACACATAAAAAAATACCAAAGGGGGGGGGGGGAGGTTCAAACCCAAAACCCCCCCCCCCCCTTGCGTACGCTCCTGACTACTACTAATACTACTACTAGTACCACCACCACCACCACCACTACTACTACTACTACTACTACTGCTACTACTACTACTGCTACTACAACTAAACTACTTATACTACTATTACCACCACCACCACTACTACTACTACTACTAAGAAAGAGAATTAGATAATTAAAGGGAGAGAGAGAGAGAGAGAGAGAGGAGGGGGTGGGAGATGGTAGAAAGAAAAGAGGAATGGAATAGGGTAAAAATGCTTTATATCCGAACATCAAAACTATATTTTCATATACACACTTGATCTCTTCATTTTATATATGTATCATCATTTTTAACCGAAACGATCATTATGCGATCTATGAATACAATGATATAATATATCATCAGCCTATCATATTTTATTTTTTCAAGGGATGGAGAAGAAATGTCTTACCATTTTAGCATGCCTGCTCGTGTCAACCGCCACATCGCCAGCTGAATGAGAGCCTCCTGTACCAATAATAATAATAATAATAATAATAATAATAGTAATAATAATAGTAATAATAATAATAATAATAATAATAATAATAATAATATGTCTTCTTTACCCAGGGTAGCCTCATCAGTATTCATACTGTTCTCCCTGAGGGCCCTGCAATCATATTATTACCCCGGTCACCGGATTCAGGCTTACCCGCACACAATGTATGCACATTCTCCACTCCCTGGGGAGCATTCCAGCCAGGCGTCATTTTTACATGCGCACACTTGCTAATCTCAGCACATTAGCCTTCGCATCCTCCCATTGGAGAAAGAGAGTACGTATAGGGAAAGCGTCGTTGCGAAGCTAGAAGTATACGAGTATTTCAATATCGAATTCGCTATAGTAGTTTAAATTTGCATGCTGTCTTATAAAGAAAACCTATTAGACTATTTAAATTATGATTTGTCTTTTCTTCTTTCTTTCGAGGATGATTTGAAAGAATTCAGCATTTCTGCCGATGGACATGCCTCTAGGGGCCATTTTGTGGGTGGGGTGGTCAAGGACCCCCCCCCCCCCCATCCAATTTACAAGTAGGGGCCTTCAGCAACATGTTATCAAAGCCCCCATTGTTGTAGCTGTTATTTATATGTTTATTTTTTTAAAGTTTGTTACATGTTGAAATAAGGTTGGAGAATGGAGAGCCGATAATCATTTGCCCAAATTGGTGGTGCATATCCCCTTCTGTTTATCGATCAGTAGTTTATAACATGCAGAGAGAAAGAGGGAGAGAAACGGAGACAGGCAGGCAGACATGCAGAGAGAAATAGAAAGGTAGACAGACAGACAGATATAAAGACATTTTCAACGCACAGGAGTATCGCATAAATTATCGAGCAGCGTTAATATTACTGAAGTGAAGAGGATAAAAGAGCATGTAGGATATATCATACCGACGACGACGACGGTTTTGCCAGCGAACTTCCCTCCGTTCTTGAAGTCGCAACTGTGAACGATGTCGCCCTTGAATTCATCCATTCCCGGGAATGATGGAATATAGCTCTTGTTATGGAGACCCGAGCACACCATCACGGCATCGAACACCTCCTCGTCGACCTCGCCGCTCTGGACCTGACTCTTCACATGCCACTGACCTTCAAGGGAACGTAACAAGGACGTTCAGATTATTATCTCGCCACTCGCAACCTAAGCTATTTTTTAAATATCTAATTTCGTTTTATTTCTGCATTTTTTCAGAAACAATAACTGATCAACAAAGAACATCTTAACCTATAGGTATGAAACAAATACGCAAACAATGATAACTTCATGAAAACATGTGATTTACATGATTATACACATACAATAACGAACTTAATATTTCTCTATACTCTATAATAATCATAATTATGATATAGTATTATGAACTTAAAGTATTAGCCTAACTATCTGTGGAAAAGTGCAGGAGATCTCCTTTTTAGAGACGGTTGACTAGGATGCTATATAACAAATCGCAAACTTAAATATCTGAAAGACTTATTTCTGACGTGTATTTGTGTATCTAATGGTAAAGCTGCCAGGTGTCATCTGTCTCATTAGCAGTAGGCATTATTTAATCAGTGGTAGAGGATTGTTTCTTAAAATAGCTACATCGCAATGTAGCAATTTTGCATCCACTTACATACAGTGGGCCTACCGTGTGCATCAGTAGGGTTATTTTGTGGCTATTTCTAGAGACATGCCTCCACGACTGCTTGAATGATGCCTGCCCTCATTAACATGGGGAGATGGGGGAGGGGGATATCTATTCTACCATGTGGATAAAATATTATTATTATTATTATTATTTATTTGGCAAAACAAAGTGTATACAAAAGAATTACATAAAAGAAAAAATCATTCAAATCAAAGGATGAAAATTATTTATAAAAAAACATTATCGTGATTCCCATGAGCATTTACAAGTTACCAGGAATGGAGAGGATAAAGCCCTCGGTGAAGGAAGGGTGTTGGAGAGGGGTAATATCGGCTCTTTCCCCCCTTTGCCTTCTTTCTCCTCCCCCTCCCACACTCTCTTTCTCTCTCTCTCTCTCTCTCTCTCTCTCTAATTCTCTATCCGTCTCTCTCGCTCCGTCTCTCTCTCCATCTCTCTCCGCGTTCTCCCCCTTACTCTCTCTGTCTCTCTCTCCCTCCCTCCCTCTCTCCCTTTCCTCTCTTCCCATCGCTCTACCCTCCTATCCCTCTCTCTCTCTCCCCTCTTTCTCTCGGTCTCCCCTTCTCCTTTTCTCTCTTGTTTACCATTTGTTGTGCCCTCCATGCATGCCCCTCCCTATCTGCAGCTATGCACAACCACTGACCTGTGTTTTGGAAGTCTTCTGTAGGCTCAACACGAACTACCTTCGTATTTAATCGAATATACGGCTCAAGGCCAAAGTGTTTGGCATATCCCTGGAAGTAGTTGAGCACCTGATTACCCTGGATGTATGGTGAGACAGAGGGATCGAACGGGTAGTCACTGAAACACATCATCTCCTTGCTGGAGTTTGTGATTAGGCAATCGTAGATGGCGCCCCTCGTCTCTGTCCCCGGAGCTCGCTTGTCACTAGTAACCCAAACACCGCCTGGGTAAAAAGTAATATACACTTCAAGCATTTCTCTCTTCAAAAAAAGTTTAAAGAAGGGGTAAAATGAAATGACTTGAAACAATATAGTTCTTTCCCCATGGCTAATGCCAAAACTTTCCGTTTCATGGAAAGTATTAAAAAAGTGACGGATCCAGCCGGCGGCAAGAGGGGTCCAATCCATGGGAAAATATTTATTTGCGACTCAGCCAGCCGGTGAATAAGCAGAGGGGGGGGGGGGGGAGGGGAAAGAGCACTATTTTTTCCTAGTTCGTGAGAAATTTCGTATTTAAAAAAAAAAATAAATAAATAAAAAAAATCTTTTTTATTTGACCGGGGAGCCAGGCCCGTTGCCCCCCCCCCCCCCCTCCCATGGATCCGCGCCTGCATTTACTGTGGGGAAATATGTCAAAAATGCTTTTGAGGTACGACAAATTTATCCAAAGTGCTTTGAACTTCAAAATAGACCCTCCAAAATTATTAACGTTACATTATATGAAATGAAATTTAATTGCTTGAATCATACTGGAGCTTAGAACTTTTGAAAAGATAACTTGAGAAAATTTAAAATGAAAAGATTTTCATTCGGAATTCTGCTCAGTGACTCTTTTTTTTTTGAAGGAAAAAAAATAGACCTCGCCATCTAGAAACTTCGCTTTTTAAAGAGCGAAGTTTCTAGATGCAAATTCAAAAGTTCTAAGCTCCAGCATGATTCAAGCAATTCAATTGGTCGAAATTTGTTTTCACGCACATAAACAAATAATTTCCCAAGAATTGGGGGAATACTTAGAATATAGTCAACTACATACCACATTGTTCTGTCTGCTCGAAGCACACAGGTTCGAACCCCTCTTCTAAACACGTCTTAGTCGAAACCAGACCGCTTATTCCCGCCCCGATAACGGCAACCTTTTTCACAGTCATGGCGAAGCAGTGATCCCCTGAAAAGAGAACCATTAACAATTCACTGTACCGTTGAACTTTTCTCAAGCGACAAACGTTACAAGGACAATAAAAATGACGAGAAGGCTAACTAACTTTTGAAAATTGTCTCACGGATAAATTCAATATAGTAGGCAAGGCTAAAAAAACACGGGGCGGTGGCAAGGCTCAAAATACACAGGGGCGGTGGGCGATTCGCCCCCGTGAGCTACAGTCATAATCGCCTCCGTCAGGTTGCTCACGGGGGCGATTGCAAAATTAAAAAATCGCCCCCGTGGAATTATCAAAATAAAGATTATATTTTCTGTTATAGCTTTCACACAATATTGAGCTTCAACTTTCAAACCTTAAACCAATGGAATGGAACTATGGAAGTTAGATTAGCGTGCAGGATTTCTCGCTTGAATTTTTCGATTACCATGCAGTTATGGTCATGCGATTGCATTGTGAAAGAAACATTGTGGAATCGATCAGAAAAGGTTGATCTTAAAGATGAAGTTGAGTTCTGGTCGTGCGATTGCATTGTGAAAGAAACGGTGTGGAATCGACCAGAAAAGGTTGATCATCTAGCCTTTAAGAATTTATGTGTATTGCAAGGTTCTGGAATCATCAAAATGATAAGAAATCTGGCCCAGTCTTGGTAAAGTTACAAACATTGTACACATGCAGAAAGATGTATATGGGACTACACGAACACGTTGCGTAAAAATCCTACCCTGGATTTTTACGATGTTACATGACATATTTAGATTATGAAAGCAGTTGAAGAGCCATGCTTTTCAGGGAACATGTCTTATCTGATGTTCTTTCACACTTGCATAATAAGAATGATAACGCTCACAAATCATTGTTCACCTCTTCCCAGAACTTAACCTTCTCTTTAATGATCCCCCGCCCCTCCCCCCCCCCCCCCCAACTGAGCGAATTTGCGGCCGGCATGATTTTCAAATTTTTGGGAGCAAAACAACATAAAAAATGTTCTCTTACCCCCCCCCCCCCCCTGAGCCATGATTACAAGGAAAATAAAAATGACAAGAAGGTTGACTGACTTTTGAAAATTGTCTCACAAATAAATTCAATATAGCAGGCTTCCCACTAAGATGTTATAATCGGATAACTTAAATACAAGTACTTTAATTTCATGATAGACATTCCAAAATGGGCAGGGCTTTGCGATTATTTTGTACGAAAACCGTGACCAAGTATATGTGAAATTGAATGACGGAATAATCAGATAATACAATGTTGGGCAGAGTGAAAAAATGAAGAGAAGACATGGACAGAAAATCACGGAGACGTGATGATTTCCAAAATGGCAGAACTGCAAAATATATATATATTTTTTTTTAATGGGGCAAGAACATACATGTTCATGTGAAAGAATACACCAGAAGGACACGTGATGAACATATGACATCCTCATTAGATTAAAACCACAACGAAATAAAAAATGATAAAATCAATATCGTGTCATGCGGATTTCCGTTATTGTTTCACTTTCATTTCATGTTTTTTGATACGTGCCGATTCCTAGACTACTAAGGGGACTTCCCCGCGTTTTACTCACGTGTTTCACAATTACATCGGCCTACATAATCGTCTATGTCTGACGATGTTAGTCAGAGCCGTATGGTAAAACCACTTCCATTCTTTCTGTTCCTGTTCATTTGCTCATGGTGAGATTATAATTATTACAAAATGAAACACAAGAATTATATTTTAGATAGCATATTATTATAGGTCTTCTAAAAAGAATAGACCCTCCTAAGCCCTGCATCTTTTAGTCATTTTTATATGTTGGAACAGATGGGAAAGTAGTCCGGCAATACATCACATTGACATTACCGCTTCAGCCAATTTGAAGTGCCCATACGTATAGTGATTACAACTTTAAAAAATTCATAACTTTCTTATATTTAGTCAGATTAAATTGAAACTTTCATCAGTTTGCTTCTTTGATTTTCTGCTTTCGTTTAGTTGTGTATTTGGGTTGGATTTCCCTTTAATCCAAAGCTGTATAGGCCTACATCGTATGTATCCCGGTTGCGTTATTTTTTCTGCGGCACAGATTGGGGTTAGGTGCGTGTTGAGCCTATGGGAAAGTTTAGGGTTAGGGTTATAGGGTTAGGGTTAAATCAAGACCCCCCCCCTTTTTTTTAAAGCCCCAATCTGTGCCGCAGAAAAAAATAACGCAAGCGGACACTTTTTTTTGGGGGGGGGGGGTCAAAAAAAAAATCGCAACTACTCAGCCAGCAGAAAAGTCGCTCAGTGGGGGGGGGGGGGGGGGGGGTAAGCGGACACTTTTTTCTTTTTGGAGTCCACAAAAAAATCGCAACGACTCAGCCAGCCGAAAAGTCGCTTAGTGGGGGGAAGGGGGGGGGGGGGGGGGTAAGAGGACCCTTTTTGGTCTCGAAATTTGAAAAATTGACATTTTTCTTTGTTGGGGGGGGGGGGGTAAGGTCATCTTTTTAAGGTTAGCCATGGGCATAATTTTTTTTTTTTTTATAATTAAAAAAAAAAAATCCAAATGGGGGGGGGGGGGTTTAGGGGGGTTTACACACATAAAAATACCAAAGGGGGGTTCAACCCCCAACCCCCCCCCCCCCTGCGTACGCGCCTGTGTTGACTATCATGAAGCAGCTCGTTGTGGCCTATAATTATATAGGACCAAAAGACGAGTTGGAATCTGTCCATGAATGAAAGGTGACAACTAGCGTGATCAGTATATTCAAATGATGTGAAGATTCTGGCCGATTCAAACCTCTTGATTTGAAAGGACTGCTTGATGCATATAGCTACACCACCTCCTACACGACCCACTCTTGGCGTGGTGATGTAAGTCATACCCCCCCCCCCCGAACGGAGGGACCGAATTGGTGTTCCCAAAATCTCCGGCTCGTTATGAAGAAAAGATGCCCGTGTTGACTTTACACACCGGCTTATGCTGAAAGGGGGGGGGGGGGGGGGGGGGGTGCTGAAATTAAAGGCTCGTATAACAAAAGAAAACTAGATGGAATTTTGACTGCGAGCAGTCGAAAATGATGCCTCCGCCATTGAGCAATTTAAACAAGTTTGGAGTTTAAATCTCCAGTGGTTCTTGAGATATCATGATAACAATCTCAATGTATGGAATTTCATAAGTTGACCTCTGTGACCCTTGACCTTTGACCTACGTGCTCCAAAATCTAATCAGATTGTCTTCCTATGGTGATACACACTATCATTAAGTTTGAAGTTTAAATCTCCAGTGGTTCTTGAGATATGATAACAATGGTAAAACCATGGTACCACCATGGTACCTGTGGTACTCGACTCTAACCATGGTACTACCATCAAAGAACCATAGTATTACCATGGTTATATGACAAGTACCATCGTATACCATGGTACTTCCAAATTTGTACCATGGTACTCTATGGTACCTGTGGTACTCGTCTCTAACCATGGTACTACCACGCAAGAACCATGGTATTACCACGGTCATATGACAAGTACCATGGTATACCATGGTACTTCCGAATTTTTACATGGTACATTGTGGTACTTAATTGGCAGTTGTACGTTTCTAACCATGGTTCAGTACCATGGCTGTATTGTTATAGCATGGTGCATGTATTTTTCTCCTTTTCTTTGCAATTAATTTACATATCCATCAAGGGGGAAACAAATATGTTGTTTTTGTTTTGTTTGTCCGATTAATTTTATTTCTGCGTTCAGATAATAAATAAGAGGTTATACATGTGGAAAAGTCAACTTTCGTTTGGCCATTTATCAATGGTGTTTAAATGTAGAAATTGTGCAACAGTTTGAAATATCATAAAGGTCTGCACAAGTCAAGACTATACCTACAAGCCCCAACCCCATACAGCTAGCGCACACAGCTACCGTCTATACACACAACCAGCCCTTGCAGCGCACTGTGAGCATTCCCGCATTTATGAATTGGTTTTGGCAATGTGCCGAAGGGATCGCTGTATCATACAGTGCAGTGCATGCAGTGTATACTGTGGACATGCCGCTATAGGCCTATGCACTATTCACAACCCAGCTTCATGCCTCGTGTGTTTCTTGGTGTTTTAGATCTGCAAAATCATGCTGAATTCTTTTTTTCCCGGCTATTCTACAACAGTATGGGTAAGTTTAAGAATCATCTTCTTTATTTACAATATGTAGAAAGATCTAGTCGATGTCTAGATAGTTAGTTATGACATTGTCAACTGGGAATTCAAACAACTTCGACAGGATAACAGTGAAGACTGAACATGTATGATCCCATGTACGTAAATTGTTGTAGTATCTTGATGGGTTTATGGGGCATATCATTCAAAGCAAAGTTTGTCCATTTACATACACATACTCTTACTGTTAGTATATAGTGTCATTGTTCGCAGGATTGAATGTTTTATTCTTTTTAGAAAATGAATAGAATACTGCATAAAAATCCAGCAAATTAACGAATTAAGCCAACCGATGTCATGTCTGCCTCTGCTCTTTGACTGCATGTGTGATTTCATGTTGACAGTTGTTGATATTCATATTTGTTTTTGTTATAGACTCTAATTCAAACTTATCTTTTTTAAATTACAGATATATACGCAACATGACAAATGAGTAGTTTCCATATCGACGTTCTTTATCATCATCTTGACCAAAACATCAACGCCACCATCACCATGTCTTCGTCGTTGACCACCGTTTTTGGGATTTGAACTTTGAAGTTTGTTGCGAACTCTAATAATGAATTGGACATTGGCATTATCAACTTTTGTTCTGTCTTTGAACACAGTCGACGTCGAACTTTTATTGAAGGTAAGAACCTTCTTTTTACCTTCTTTGTCTTCGATTTGCGTTTCGTCGTTTGCAAGTCTGATCCTGACTCCGGCTAATGATGAATTTATCAACTTTCGATCTGTCTTCGATCACCGCCGACGTCGTTCTCTATACCAAGTTTCACCATCACCATACATGGACTTCGCATCCGATCGACATTGCGGACTCTTGGCTTTCATTCATCATTCATTTTTGAACTGTATCATGATTACCGACGTCATCTATGATCTACCATAGAAAGTAGGCCTAGCTACCAATTGTTTCTTCAAACCAAATTCGAGTACGACATCATCAACGAATCTCGAACCTCCGCTGGAAGGATAGTTTGTAAAATGTACTATGTAATTTGAATATGAGCGGCAGTCTTTCGCTATAGAAATAGACTAACGACTTTACTTATAATATTGCTGTGTGCTGAAAGTGTTTAGTGTCATGTATAATGTAACAAGCGGCAGTCTTTCGCTATAGAAATAGACTTCAGTTTTCGACTGTAAATTGTTTTATATATTTTACGCGAGCTAGATTTTAGCTCGTTTGAATAAACGCCTTTAAAAAAAGTAAACATACTGTTTCCATTGTTTGATGTTTGATACGTCATATGATCATTTGACATTAATGATCAACATTATTGTGATGTCTTTTGTTAACAGATCATGTTTACGAGAGTAGTGGCTGAACCTTGAGAAAAATGGATAATTGTGCTGAAAGTGGACTTCATGCCAGCTCCTGTCATTTTTGTGTCTACTTTGCAGACGAGCATGTTCTTTCAAAGATAAATGATCAAGGGCTGGCAGATATTATGAGGAATACTGTGTTGAAAGTGCTTAATGTATGTAGTAGATTTGTAAATGATAACAAAAAATCAATCATGCAATGTAATCAATGCTTTCTTTTTATTAAGCTACATGCAGAATGGAAAGGCGACTGGGTACGTGCAGTAACATTATAGTACAAGTACCATGGTAACAGGAGAACCATGGTAACCATGGTACAGAGAACCATGGTAACCGAGAACCATGGTAACCATGGTTCTTATGGTGGATGGTAATTTGGACAAAGAACCATGGTACTGAAAAACCATGGTAACCATGGTACTGAGAACCATGGTACACTGAACCATGGTTACCATGGTTCTTATGGTGGATGGTAATTTGGACAAAGAACCATGGTAACCATGGTACTGAAAACCATGGTAACCATGGTACCGAACACCATGTTAACACTGAACCATGGTTATCATACTTCGGTGTTACCATGGTTTTCAGTACCATGGTAACCATGGTTCTATGTCCAAATTACCATCCACCATGAGAACCATGGTAACCATGGTACTGAAACCATGGTTTTTACATGGTACATTTTTGTAAGGGTATTATGATAACAATCTCAATGTATGGAATTTCATAAGTTGACCTCTGTGACTCTTGACCTTTGACCTACGTGCTCCAAAATCTAATCAGATCGTCTTCCTATGGTGATACATACTATCCTCAAGTTTGAAGTTTTTACATCTCCAGTGGTTCTTGAGATATCATGATAACAATCTCAATGTATGGAATTTCATAAGTTGACCTCTATGACCCTTGACCTTTGACCTACGTGCTCCAAAATGTAATCAGATTGTTTTCCTATAGTGATACACACTATCACTAAGTTTGAAGTTTAAATCTCCAGTGGTTCTTGAGATATCATGATAACAATCTCAATGTATGGAATTTCATAAGTTGACCTCTGTGACCCTTGATCTTTGACATACGTGCTCCAAAATCTAATCAGATCGTCTTCTATGGTGATACATACTATCCTTAAGTTTGAAGTTTAAATCTCAAATGGTTCTTGAGATATCGCGCTAACAAACTCAATACAAGGAATTTCGTAAGTTGACCTCTGTGACCTGTGACCTTTGACCTACGTACTCCAAAATCTAATCAGATCGTCTCCCTATGGTGATAAATACTATTCCCGAGTCTTAAGTTTAAATCTTAAATGGTTCTTGAGATATTGTGATAACGGTCAAACGGGACGGACGTACGGACGGACGTACGGACGGACAACCCGAAAACATGATGCCTCCGGCACCCCCTTCGGTGGCGGAGGCATAAAAAGATCTACCCGTATTGGCACTCTGGACTTATGCTGAAAGGGGGGGGGGGGTGATGGGAACACGCATAGTTATGTGTACCATAAATAACACTGAGTGGGGGGGGGGGGGGGGCGGGAAGTCATAGTTCTGAAGGGTAGAGCTAGGATATCTGAGCTAGGGGAATGTCCGGGGGAAGGGGGTGTTGTCGCGATCATCGCCCATGAACCAGGTCTCTGTCACAGCTGCGATATATCTATTCGATCATAAATCATGAGGTCACAGAAACATTTTGCGTATTATTGTTCAATGATCTGGCATTCTGGACCGAGGTCAAATGTCACCGGATCTTCGTCGACTACCGCGGTTTCCTGTAGCTGCAGACGACGTGCACCTTCCACCTTTCCGATATCGCCTGGTGCGACCTCTACAAATGCCTATTTGGTTTAAAGCCCCACTGTCCTACTTGTAGCTGCTTGCGCCCTCTATACAGAAAACTTCCCCAATCGGTGCCTGTTGGTCCCCCATGATCCTCTTTTTCTTATGTTAGTTGAGAGCTGAGTTAATGAGATAGCCACCTGTCAATGACCTCGCTATGTGGTCTAATCCCTTCTGGCCCAGTAGTGTTGACGGTCTTAAGGTTGACCGGACAGATGAAGATATTTTGAAGTGCTTAGAATTCAAGTTGTATAGTGTATAAATGGATTCTATCTATTAATATGGTAGTGCATGGGATCCTCACTATTAGTTGAGGAAGGACCTGGATTGGGGTGTATGTCCCCACACTGAACAAAACTCAATTGAAATGTAGAGGCACAAGTAGGAGTTGGGTATAAATATGATATCCTTTTGCCAACATATTTCACATGTAGCTGAGAATTTAAAAACACACTTTAGGAGAAAAGCTTTTGACCAAATGAGTACTGATACCAAGTTTATAGCTACCAGTGCTCGTGCAATAGACACTACACCAAGACAGCTCTAGTTGGCATATATAAGAGACTTTGTGATCGAATGAGAGCATCTAGGCGTTGTGGCGTGCGCCCGTAATCCAGCTGAAAGTGGAAGTTACAAACTGATTCAGCCGAGGACACCCAGGTTCGAAACTGAGTCACGTCTTTCGGATGGGGACATTTAAAGGTCGGTCCCCAGACGTAAATAATCATATCTGATTGATACACGTCTATAAAAACCCAACACACACACACAGAGCCATTGTAAATGACTTACGTAATCTATTGTATTTGTACTCAATAGTTCCAGGATTCTTTCACGGAATGATTGGGCCAGTAAACATGATGAATAGAATGAGAACATTGACTAGTATACACACACTGCTATATACATGTATTGTACAATATAGCTACTACATGTAGGCATACAAATCGCAATCACATAAACACAGACAAAAAATCCAAAGAAATCACCTCACAATATTGTCCTGTGTGAACAGTGGCATATAACAAACAAACTAGTATGACAATAAATCTTTTAAATTAACTCAGATCCAACTTAATTTAGGAGAGACTTGGACGTTGGACGAGCAGCTGTGACGCGCCCAACTCACTCCAGGGGCGGATCTATACATTTTCACTCGGCAGCCCAAGGGGGGGGGGGGGGGGTCAACCCCCCCCCCCCCCCTTGGGCTGCCGAGTGAAAATGTGATGAGCATAGAAAAATGCCATCATCTGCCAGACCTACACAGTTAGATGTTAGTAGATGCCAGGAAAACATCACTTACGGGGGTTCAAATTAGTACCAAAATAGTACCCCCAAAAAAATGCCCTCGCCGGTCACCCCCCCCCCCCCCCCTGGCAAAAAGCTATATCCGCCCCTGTACTTACTTGACCAACGGCTAAAACAGTTCATCACCTACTATTATTATCTCATCCGACTGCCATCCGATTTTTTTTTAAATGGCAATAGTAATTACTCCTCATTACCTAGACCCTTGGAGAGGACTTAACGCCGTCGGTCCCCTGGCTGGTTACTTACAAGTATAATTATGTAGGCCTATGCTTTCTTATAGCAGTCAGGTAAAACAAAAATCAATCATCAAACGATATTCATTATGAGTACTGTATCAAAGTATCGGGGACGCTTAAACTTCTTGAACTTAAACAAGTCGCATCCTCCCCTTCTTGGCCTTAGCAAGGCACCTTAATTCTCGCTTCAAGTTTAAGCTTTCGTAGGGAAGGCTTGTCACACGACTATCGGTGAAGTGAATTTGTTATATCGTTTGTCGTCCAAAACATTTTATCTACTTTAAGTAATGTGACAGCAGCTAGCTAGTATATAGATGCACATTATATGTATTATAATACACAACGCTGATTCGGAATATAAGCATTTATATAACTTACCCTAAAAGTCTCTGCTGATCACTCTATGTGCAAATGTAAGACAGCCTTCGACTGATTCCAAGTTTAATAGGATTTGACTTAGCAGCAGTCACTGTACGAGAATAATGAATTATTCACTATGTGTTCATGACCAATAAGTTGAAGCAAAGTTCAACGCCTTTCACACAAAATAGCAGCTGGCACCGAAAATGAAATCATGTCTTCCGTCCTTTCAATTTTCTTTACTTTCTTTCGCAACGGTCCAAAGTGCGGACATGAAAATAAGGAGGGGAAATTGAAAGTAAAGTTTGAAACTATATTTGTAGGCGCTATGATGCTTCATCCCGTTCCATCGTTTATTCACATGAAATTAACGACATCAATGAATCCTTCCGGTAAGTATATACAAGGGCGAAGTGAGAGACAATTAAAAAAAAAGGGGAACCGAACATTACCGCTTAATGCACTTATTACAAACATTTCTGAATCACTGGATTTTTTTGCTAACAGAAGGATTACTTGGTCTTTCACTTTTGGTGAGTAGAGCCAGCAATTTTCTGGTCGCTGACCTGAATGTATCCTGCTTGGTTTGTGTATAATTAATTCTATGCTGTACGAATATATAGTCACTCAACTTTCCTCTATATTAATATCTGCTTGGAAGTCTATTAAAATGATATGTTACGGTGGTGGGGAAAAGAAGATAAATAAAAAATAAAAAACTTTTTTAAGCATCTTTGTTTCCTGAATGATTTTAAGTGAATACAGAAAATGACGATAAAGAGTGCGCTGCATGGAAGAGAGAGAGAGAGAGAGAGAGACGAGGGGGGGGGGGGGGAGGTCAGAAATATGCCAGGAGCCAAATTGGTAAACAGAGGGGGAAGCCTCTAAGGCGGGATGGGGCGGAGGGGGCAAAATACTATCGGAGGAAACTCCCACGAGACGTAGATAGAACCATTGCAAGTTTTGTAATATTTGGGGAACGGTGGTATATGGGGCGGTTGGAGGAGGGACTAGCGCATTGCATAAAGCCTCGGTCACAACTGCCATTACGAACTGCTACGAACGCCGTACGAACGATTTTCAGACAATGGAAAAACAGGGAGATTCGTACGAAATTATCGTTCGTACGAGCCTTTGTGACCGTAGCATCGCCAGTCCTGGTGACCGTGAACACCCGTTATTGGGTAGATACTCAAATGGTTTCAAATTCTCTAGGAAAACCCCGTGCTTATGTGTCTTAAAGCCCCACTGTACAACTTGTAGCAAACAATGCCTAATTAATCGGTGTCTGTTGGTCCCCCGTGATCCCCTTTTCTTATGGTTAATTGAGAGCTGAGTTGATGAGATAGCCACCTGTCAGTGACCTTGCAGGGTAGTCTAATCCCCCTGGCCAAACGAGTACAGACGGGCATTAAAGAGTTTTAAGACAAGTAACAGGTATTGTATGCATATCAGTGAGACAGGAGTAGTTCGCTTATCCATGAAGTAGAATGTGGGAATAGTTCGATTCCTGATGACCGATGAGCCGGCCAAACACACTTACTTTGAAGAAGTTTAAGTCTTCCCAGGTATGTGCAATGCGGTTACAATTTCCTGCAACGTTAAAAATGGCAACCGTGAATCATAGGATACGAATAGCGTGAATAAAAATTAGCGAGGGAAGATATTGGGTGGTCTTAAATGAATCCGAAACACTCCAAAGTTACAAACACTGTACACAGAAAGACGTATATTGGACTACAAATCCAAGTGACATAAAAATCTGGCCTCATTTTTAGGCTGTTCTACTTGTCATATCTAGAATATGGAGGCATTTGAAGAGCCTTGCTTTTCAGGGATTATTTTTTTCTTTGATGTTCTTTCACACTTGCATGATAACAATGATAACGCTCAAAAAAATATTGATCACCTTTTCCAAGAACTCAACCTTCTCTTTAACTACACAAGAGGCAGAGTGTAACGAAAGAAGGATCTCAGATAGCGATTTTCTGATTTATTCCAAAGCAAACAAATTCCAAAGCAAAACAAGTAGTTAATTGCTATAATATGCATGTTTCTTTTGTCTTTGCTGAGCTCTTAAATGTATGTTACGTTCGGAAAGTGTTATTTCTTTCGTAACACCCTGCCTCTTGTGTAGTTAAAGAGAAGGTTGAGTTCTAGGAAAAGGTGATCAATATTTTTTGAGCGTTATCATTGTTATTATGCAAGTGTGGAAGAACATCAAAGAAAAAAATAATCCCTGAAAAGCACGGCTCTTCAAATGCCTCCATATTCTAGATATGACAAGTAGAACAGCCTAAAAATGAGGCCAGATTTTTATGTCACTTGGATTTGTAGTCCAATATACGTCTTTCTGTGTACAGTGTTTGTAACTTTACCCAGACTTGGCCAAATTTGTTATCATTTTGATGATTCCAGAACCTTGCAATACACACAAATTCTTATATGCTAGATGATCAACCTTTTCTGGTCGATTCCACACCGTTTCTTTCACAATTATGCAATCGCATGACCAGAACTCAACTTCATCTTTAAAGAGAAGGTTGAGTTCTGGGGAGAGGTGAAAAAATAATTTGTGAGCGTTTAATCATTGTTATTATGCGGAAGAAAGTGGGGAACATCAGAGAAAAAATGTTTCCTTCAAAGTATGCCTCTTCAAATGCCTTCATATTCGAAATAATTTATGACAAGTAACATCTTAAAAAAGAGGCCCGATTTTTATGCCACCTGTTTGTGTATAGCACTATTTACATCTTTCTTTGTACAGTGCTTGTTATTCTACCAAGACTGGGCCAAATGTCTTATCATTTTGATGATAACTCCAGAACCTTGCAGTACACACAACTATAAGTATATGCTGCATGCATGATCAACCTTTTCTGATCGATTCCACACCGTGTCTTTCACAATGCAAGCTCAACTTTACCTTTAAGCAGTAATGTTCATAACCACACAGAGGACCTGGGTTTTTGTGTCACATCTTTATTGTAATTTGATTTGATTTGCATGTACATTATGAAAACAAAGTATGACTGAATAAAGATGATCAATTTAATTATAAAAACATATTTCGAGTTTACATACACATACAGTATTTCAAAACAACAAACAATGTGAATATAATATGAACAAAAGTATTATTAAGGAAAGTGATCTAATAAAGCATGTATGGGAATATTGAATACAAAATAAAGTATGGAGTGACTTCATCAATATGTGATCGATTTAGAAAGTGGATGATTGTAAGATCCACAATGCAGCCTGAGGATGGGTGAAGTCTGTTTGCCATTTTGGTCACACATATTACAGACCACATTTACGATATTAGTATGATAAATCGGATTATTCTAAAGAGCCCGTCTAAATATCAGACTAAATATCAAGTTAAGTTATACTTTTTATGTCAATTCATGTTCATGATATTAATAAGAACATTAATGTGTCCATTTATATAGCACAGATACTATAACGAATACTGCGCTTGGTACAAAGCATCGCATTATTTTTTTTCCGGTTGTACCTGAGCCGCCATCATAAGGCGCTAAAGCGTTCAAAAAATTGTTTCCTACCGGGTACCCATTTACTTCACCTGGGTGGAGAGTGGCAAATATGTATTAATGTCTTCTTTCTAGTATATCATAATTCTACACTTGGTCACGTATATACCTCGGACTGGCCTAGTGGTATCTTCTTCGGAATAGCTGAAGTCAGCATAGCACGAGTGGTGATCATTCAGAATCTCTCACAATATTGTAACCTTAAATGAATTTTTGTGAAATCCAGAATTCTAAAACATTATTACAGTTTAAACACAACATAACATATCATGTAAAGGTTGTTTATTCGCCTGGAAGATCGGCTGAAACTCTTTACCCGGCATTCCGATGCTAACCTATAATAAGAAAATTTGCAACAACAACAAAAAAATATTGCAACTATATGGCTTGTATTTCATTCATTAAAGGTCAATTTAACCCATGTTATGAGTTTATTTATATGAAAGCAGATAATAAGATGAACAGAATTTCGAAAGTTTGAAATTTATCAGACCAATAATAAGACAGCTGTGAATGTTTTTTAAAAATCACTATGTGTCTATGCGAATCTCAAATTTGCAGTTTGGTTTCGCGGATATAAACTCTCGAGTTTGTCGTGTTACAAAAATTGAGAGGCGTATAGTCGGGGAGGGGGCACCTGTTTCACTACATATGTGATATGCAAGAGAGCAAGGCTACCGAATACAAGTTTAGAGGGGTGTATATCATTGCGCGGATCCAGGATTTCTTGGGGGGGGGGGGCCAAATTTAAAATCAATTTGAAATTTAGTGTGCTGAAATTTGAATATTTCGCACAGGGAGGGAGGAGGGGAGGTAGGGAGCACACATTTTTGTTCTTTTTCTTTTTTGCCTCCGGAAATTTGAAAATCGCGCCGACTGATATTTCGCTCAGTGGGGAGGGAGGGGGGGGGGGGGGGTAGGGAGTTTTACTTTGTCTTCTTTGCCCCGGAAATTTGAAAATCGCGCCGGCCGATATTTCGCCTAGGGGGGGGGGGGGAGGGGGGTGAGCACCCCAAACAGGTACATTTCTGGTCACAATTTTGTCCCCCTTTTTTTGCCCGTCTTTTATTCATTTATTTTTGGCCGGGGGTGGCAAGACCCGCTCTGCCACTCTCTTCCCCCCCCCCCTCTGGATCCGCGCCTGCATCTTATATTCCTCTTTGCTTAAGTATAAGTCTGACTTAGGCGGCTGACATCCTTTATCTCGATGAACTTTTTCAAGAAGAAACTAATGACGCCATCGTCATCGTCATCGTCATCATCTACATCATCACTCTTTGTCTTCATTAAATCCCTCGTCATCGTTTTCTTCTTCGTCATCATCTGCATCGTCGTCGACACCATCATTGTCATTGTCGTTTGGAAGTCATACTCAAAGTCGTAGTCTTCGGGGTAATCAAAAGACTCGCGCCGTGAATACTCGTCTTCCTCGTCATAGGCGTACTGTCACAATTAAATAAATACCACAGCATAGGCCTACTTTATTGAAGAATTAAATTGAATACTATCATTTCATACATAAAAGGGGTGGGGAAGGAAGAAAGACAGAGAGAGAGAGAGAGAGAGAGAGAGAGCGAGAGAGAGTATGTGGAGAGCACTTTGAAACATCAAGGGAAATCATTCTAGCAAAAATTAAAACGTTGACTTAACTGTCTGCTATAGGTCTCAGAAAACTAAAACGACGTCAATCTTGTAGTCGGCTATATGAAATACATAACCATTCTTCATTCTATAGGGGAAATGAGCACGATAATCTACAAATCTGAATTGTATCTTCTATCTAGAAATTAATGATTGTTGCAAGGCCAATA